TATCACAGAGAGAGGAAGAGAAGGCCCTTCATTTTCAACTGTAGAAACAAACTCATGTGGACTCATTATTTTGGCTGCCCATGACCTCTAAAAGGTTCCTCAGGGTCATGAAATGGTCTGTGTGCAATGGACAGCAGGAGCCATCCTTGAGCCACAAAATGAGATTGGGGGCCCAGCATGAATGGCATGTACCCCAGTGGATTATTAGACAAACATGAAGTGACTTGACTGATGAAAAACTGGCAAAGGGCTTAGAAAGAGGAATTGTGCAAGATCACATCAGTCTTATCATGCATCACAGCTCCTGTTTGCCTCGGGCGAGTTCTTGTAGTCATTATGAGTTGTGCAAGAAGGCGGGGCAGTTACACAGCCACAAAAAGGCAAAATGTAGGCATCAGAACCCACTTGGATGATACATACACACACACACACACACACACGCACAATACTGCCCACCTCTTTAAAAAATACATAGCTCACTGAAGATTTCTATATATACCAAAAGTTCTGGAGAGCAGAGGCAAAACTGTGGAGTTCAGATTATCTATAAACACCAGTGACTGAAAATAAATAATACAGACATGATATTTGCAGTGGGTCTTAGAGTTTCCAACTCACATATACATTTATGCCTCATCAAACTCAGTAAAATAATTGAAAAAGAAATCATTATTCCCGTTCGACTGAGGAAGAAGGTGAAACTCAAGGCCATTGATTTATTCACTGTCCCAAATCTGTTTGGGGGTTAGAACTATGACCTGGAATGTTCAGGAGAGCATAGAAATTATCTTAAGGAGGACAGAAAGAAACGATAATCTTCAGATGTTTTATGGGTGAGAAGAAAGGTGGTCACAGTTGGTAGGATTCATTCAGAAAACCATTGGGCCAGCCCTGTAAGTCATTCTGAATGGCCTTTGCAAAGGTCGTCCTCACTGGAAGCTTCTCGACTTACCTTGTGGTTGTCAGTCTTATTTTGTTATAATTATCTCATTAATCTTACGTGAAAGTTGAAATTTCTATCCTTCCTGACCATGGAGGGATGCTTCTCATTAAGATTCTTGGTTGCGTGGAAAGACCGTCACCACATTCCTTGGTGCCAGGGGAGGATGATGAGATCCTCAGCTTTCAGGACTTTTGGAGACACTCCATAACACCTGCCACTTAGGGTTCTCAGGGGGCTATTTGTTTGGAACACTTGGAGACCCCAAGGTGGAAATCTTTCTAAGAATTGTTAGGCATTATGCTGCTGACAAATGACCTCAGGCCTCTTTCTTCCAATTGCCTAATCACCTGGGATAAAGCCATGCTGACTGGGAGGAAGGGAAGCCATGCCCAGCCTATTCTGAACACATGCACACACCTGCAGATAGTCACTCTTTGACCTTCCCTGCCATCTTTCAAAAGATTAAAGAAAGGAGCACACATTATTCAGTAGTACGTGAAACAGACACCCCCAAATGCACACCAAATGGCCTCAATAACTACCAGACATCACTACCCACACTACTTCTCTTACCAGAAAGGAGCAGGATTAAATGTCACATGGCCACCAGAACACCATAGATTCCCAGGCAAGATTACAGCTCAGCAAGCCCTGCTGACACCCATCCTCAGGCGGTTCGGAGAGCATTGCGGAGCTGGGTGGTGCCAGGTGATAAATGCCTATAGCTCTCCCCTGACGTGTCTTCTCCTGGTCCCCCTCCTTCTTTCTCATTTTGTTCCCAGTCAAGAAAAAAACCAGCATCCAGGAAAGTATGGAGGTTCTTCACACACTCTTTCTGCTCCCATTCATTTTATTTTTCTCTGCTTAAGCAGAAACACATGGAAGAAGCCATCTCTGGTTGCCCAGAGAAGTCAGATGGGAAGAAGATCGAGTCATCTCTTCCATGTTATATAGTTATATCTAAGAGAAGGATCCCTGGAAACTTGTATTCACTCTTCTCCATGGGGAAGTCAGCTTCCAGGTTTTGAAATCCAATGGGAAATGTGTGATATATGGGCAGAAAATATAGAGCAAGAATGTCAAACTCGTAGCCAGCAAGCCGCATGCCTGGTTTATTAATGGTTGAGTTTGACATGCTTGGTCTAGAGCTCTGCTATCACAGTGGAATTTTAAAGATAAAATCAAGTGGCGGGGCTGGGTATAAAAAGGGAAAAGTTTTATTACAGTAGACATGAGAGACTGCAAGATAGAGAAGTGTTTTCTTCACAATTAGGAACATGTCCTCCCACCGTTCCCAGACCACTTCTTACACACATCATGTAGATCTCTATCCTGACTTCTCCAAGCATACACTAGCTGATTCTTGAAAGCAATCAAAATTAAGTAGAAATGATAAGTAGAAATGATAAGTCATAATGCAGCTCTCTTTTCCATCAGGTTTTGCAAATGTGTGGGATGTTTGGGCACTCCCTTTGTTAATCTTTTTCCTCTTCCTGGGCATGTTCTGATTATTCCCTGTGTTTCCTGTCTTCTTTGGAAGATGGTTAAGGTCAGAGAAGGTGAAGACTCACCCACTTAGATTTACTAGTTCGCACTTACCCTGAGGACAAATATGATGAGAAAGGACTTGGATAAATCAGGTCAGATATTTAATTGTGCATTTTCAGTAGCTTTACTCTGAATAATAGTACATTACAGTTAATGTTCACCAACAGATTAGTATCCAGCAGTCTCTCTGGGAACTGCACAATAGACTGAGTAAAATCAAATCAAATAAAAAAGACCTATCTTACCCACCCTGCTTCTCCCCACAGTGGAGCATTCTCATTTAGTAAATGAGTCAAATAATGAACTTAAAGCTGTGTTCTTGGTTTTGAGTTACACGTTAGTTAAGCCTCACTCTTGGGTGTTAAATATTAGCCCACCATTGGCCCCTGGCTGTAGTGTAGGTGTAAATATTTGACAGAAAAGTACACATCACAATACATGAACAGGTACACATGAGTGACTTTGGAAAGCTAGTTGGTGGGAATGGAAATGAACATCGAGTAGAAATCGTCCACTGTGGAGACCCTGGACAGTGTTTCTGTTAAATCATTTGTATGCTGTCAGATGATTTCCATTCTCATGGTACCTGGTAATCCCAGAAATTCGATTCCAGGCATTCCTCCACATCTCAGCACTGACAGTCTGTGTCAGTGACAGCAGCCTTAAAGCTCCTTCAGCCGACTATGCGTTTAGAATTATTGTTCCCTCTCTTCCATCTGGTCTTGTTAGTTTCCTTAGCCCACACTTTTAAGGCATTCAGTAGCAAACATTGCTATTCATCTTTGAGATTCCTAAGCCTGAAAGAGGCAGAACCATATGTCCTTCCTGCAAAAAATACAGGTTTGCTTTAGTGCATTGTTTTGCACAAGGGCCCATTCTGGACCACACACACAAAATAATTAGAAACCTCCACGAATCAGAGTTTAGTTTATAATTCAAATGAAAATGACTCTTATTTTAGCTACCACTAATGATAGATGTGGTTCTGAAAATATGTTGGCTAAGACAGTGTCCTAGTTGGTTTGGGGGATGCACACCCTCAGGAAGGTGGCACACTGGACAGGAAGTTTGGGGTTGTCTCCAGCCCCATCACTGCCACTAAGGCCTCCTGACTTTGGGCAAGTCCCTTACAGTTTTGAACTTCTGTTCTCAGCGTAATCAGGAGCTGAGCTAGCTGTGTCTGAGTCTGTCCTCACTCTTAACTTTCTGTGCTCCAGTCACTGCAGGATCTAGAGATGTTAGAAAGATAACAGTAATCTGACAACAGAAGCACCACGTTGATTACTTTTCCTATTATTCTTCCATGCTGATGGACTCCAGTTTTCCCTTCATCATTAAGATCTGAACTACAAGCTGTCTCCCTAAAATGTATACACACTTTAACAGCTCATAACTCAATTTTGAAAATAAAATGTATTTTAATAAACACTGCCTTTATAGTTATTCACAGTATATGTATACATTTTTTTTGCGGGGGGGGGTGCACCCTATATATTATAATACAGAGTTGTGTGCTTTAATTTGTTAAGAAGGTAGGTGTCATGTTAGATATTTATACTTCACACACAAAAAAGAAAAGAAAAAGAAAAACACACACACATTCAAAGGGACTCAAGGATTGGACAAAAGTAATCAACGTGGTGCTTCTGTTGTCTGAATGTGGATGTGATAGATATGCTTATTACTTTGACAGGTGTATGCATTTGTCAAAATTTATCTAGTTATAGATATTCAACACATACAGCTTGTTGTATGTATCAATTATACCTCGGTAAAGCTGTTCAGAAAGGAGATATGAACTATATACATATTGAAAAATATATATTACATAGAAGAAAAAATATATATCAAGTTTTTCCCCAAAAAGTTTTATGTCCTTTTAAGACCATGTCCGTAGATCATGATTAAACATTTGGGGGAAGGACGAGTAGGCCAGAGCATTTTACACTGGACCTTTGGAAAGAGCTGACCCATAGAACTGGCTGCAGTGCAGCCCACAACGGCCTCACACTCCTGAGTGCAGGAGATAAGTGTGGTGACCGAGGAACTGGAGTCTTAATTTTTATTTTAATTTAAAGAGTCACAATCCCATTATAAAGTTTCCTTCAATAAAGTCTTACTGCTGGTTCTGAAGTAGAGTTTATAAAGAAAACGCAGTTCAGTATCAAGCAGCCTTACTCCATTGACTAATCGGATGAACAGATTTGTAACAAGCTGGGGACTGACCCTCTCCTTAATTTCTCCTGAAGGTTTAAAGATGACACCTTAGAGATGGCTGTGCAGGCCCAGCACCACTGGGTCCATTCTGGCCAAGAGCCTTACAAAGGATGTCGGGAGCTCTTGGGGCAAAGTAATTCAGAGGCGTTGTCTTAGGACCCAAAGATGCTCATGCGTGTTTGAGATTCTGGGGAGCCCCTCAGGACAAGCTCCCTTTAGGGAGATGGCAACTTCTTTAGGGAGAAGTTACTGTCTGAGTAACACACCTTCCTTGTCATTTGTTTCTTTGCAGGAGCTGATTGATGTGGACAGCGAGGTGGTGTTTGAATTAGCCTCCTACATTTTACAGGTAGGTAGCTCTCCCTGCCTGACCACACCCAGGAGAGGCTAGTGCCCAGCCAGCTGCCATCCCACAGCTCGGGGCCCCCAGTAGCTTAGCCACAGAGGAAAAAGAATTATTCGGGACACTAATAATTAAATAAGTAAATACGAGCTCTGGTATTTCAAAATGTTAAGACAGCATCTGTACAAAAGAAAATCACGTGTATAACCTGAGCCTGGGGGAAGCAGATCATTCTGTGTCTCCATTTCCTTCAGCTTTCTCCTTCTCCCCTACTCTGGAGAAAGCCAAGTAAACAGCAAAAATTACTTGCCAGGACAGTCATTTCTCGAGCTCTCTAGAAAGACAAGGAAAAGACCTTTCCTTTATGCAAAAAAAGAGCTACACCAAATATGAGCAACATTGGTGATATTAGCAACACTGCAGGATGAATAGGAATTATGTCATCAGCTTATCCCTTCAACAAAGATTTATTGAAAAACTACTTTGTTCAAGGCATTCTAGATTCATAAAGGTCCCACGGTCCCTCCCAGCCTCCACGTCTTTAGACCATAGCCACACTCCAAGGCAGAACCACGAGACACAGACAGTGCTGCCCAGATACCCACTGATTGAAACTCTTTAAAGTAGAAAAAACAAGAGCAGGGCCCAGAGGTGGAAACTTGCAGTTTGTCATTATTAATCATGATCTTTGTATATAACTTTCTGAAGTTTAGTTTAGGTCCTTATATTTCAGTGGCAAATGCATGTACCCCTTCTTAATTATGTTTCTGTAGCAGATGGGACCATGGCAGCATAGGAGTGGCCGTGACCATAGGATGCATTTTATAGTGTTTAACACAGAATTGGGATGTTTCACAGATGTTGAATTTTTTTCTTCCACAGGAGGCGAAGGGAGATTTTTCTAGGTAAGTTTACAAAAGTTTTTTTTTTGCTTAAAAATGTATTCCGTTGCTTCTCTATTAAACAAATGTATTCTGCTCTAGCCGGTTTGGCTCCGTGAATAGAGGGTTGGCCTGTGGACTGAAGGGTCCCAGGTTTGATTCTGGTCAAGGCTACGTATTTCAATTGCAGGCTCCTCCCCAGCCCATGCCCTGGTCAGGGCTCATGCAGGAGTCAATTAATCGATGTGTTTCTCTCACATTGATATTTCTTTCTGACTTTCCCCCTCTCTAAAAAATCAATGGAAAAATATACTCAGGTGAGGATTAAAAAAAAAATTTTAAAGAAAGTATTCTGCTTTTTGTAGGAGAACACAAAAGGCAGAATACTGTAATAATAAAAAATTATGATGAGATCCAGCTCTCAACTTGTCTTTTTTTAATTTTAATAAATCTTTATTGTTCAGATTATTACAATTGTTCCTCTTTTTTTCCCCCATAGCTCCCCTCCACCCGGTTCCCATCCCACCCTCTGTCCTTACCTCCCCCCCCCACCACCACCACCACTGTTCTCATCCATAGGTGTATAATTTTTGTCCATTCTTTTCCTGCAACCACCACACCCCTTTCCCCATGGGAATTGTCAATCCACTCCTTTCTATGCCCCTGATTCTATTATGTATACCAGGTTATTCTGTTTATCAGATTTTTAATTCACTTGATTTTTAGATTCACTTGTTGATAGATATGTATTTGTTGTTCATAATTTTTATCTTTACCTTTTTCTTCTTCATCATCTTCTTTAAGAATTCCTTTTGCCATTTCATATAATACTGGTTTGGTGTTGATGAACTCCTTGAGCTTTTTCTTTTCTGTGAAGCTCTTTATCTGATCTTCAGTTCTAATTGATAGCTTTGCCAGGTAGAGTAATCTTCGTTGTAGGTTCTTGCTATTCATCACTTTGAATATTTCTTGCCATTCTTTCTGGCCTGCATAGTTTCTGTTGAGAAATCAGCTGACAATCTTATTGGTGATCCCTTGTAAGTAATTAACTGTTTTTCTCTTGCTGCTTTTAATATTCTCTCTTTGTCTTTTGCTCTTGGCATTTTAATTATGATGTGTCTGGATGTGGTTGTCTTTGGATTCCTTTTGTTTGGGGTTCTGTGTGCTTCCAGGACTTGTAAGTCTATTTCCTTCACCAGGTTGGGAAAGTTTTTAGTCATTATTTCTTCAAATAGGTTTTCAGTATCTTGCTCTCTCTCTTTTTCTGATGTCGGTTCACTTGAAGTTGCCCCCGGGGCTTCTTTCTCTATCTTCAAATTTTGGGATTCTTTTTTCTTTTTGCTTTCCTGATTGAGTGTTTTTTGCTTCTTTGTATTTCAAATCTTTGACTTGATTTTTGCGTTCCTCTAGTCTGCTGTTGGGTCTCTGTATAATATTTTTTTATTTCAGCCAGTGTATTTTTTTATTTCTAGTTGGTCCTTTTTCATATCCTCAAAGGTCTTGCTAAATTTATTGGTCTTTTCTAGGAAATTCTTGAAAAACCTTATAACCGTGGTTTTGAACTTTAAATCCAGTCATTTGTTTTCCTCCATTTCTTTCTGTTTTTTTGTCTCCGCATTTTGGCTGCTTCCTTGAGTTGGTAGGGTAGTTTTGTGTGCTAGGTGTCCTATATGGCCCAGTGGCTCAGCCTCCCCTGAGATGGACACTCTTGGTGTACCCCTTTGTGGACTGTGCGTACAGCCTTGTTGCAGTTAAGTCTTGATTATTGTTGGTATCACCGGGAGGAATTGACCTCCAGGCCAATTGGCTGTGAGGATCAGCTGTGTCTATGCCAGGAGAACTTCTGTGATGGAGACAGCCTTATGAGACAAGACTTGGACAATTGCAAAAGCTTCTATGCTCAACTTGGATGGGGCTGTCAACTTGTCTTTTGAAACACATACATCAGACATATAAAATACAATGATAGGGAGGATATTCTGTACTAAATAAAAAGCTGAGAGGCTACTAAAAGGTTGAGATGAGAACCCTGTCATGCATGGCCATGGAATGGAGGTATGTCAGTTGCCTGAGTGTCTCTGTGATGCCCCAAATTCCCACTATGTTGTGAATAAGGCCGCAGATAACCCTGGCAGTTCTAATACAGAAGTTGACTTCTTTATTTTTCTCTCAGTTTTATATAGTTCCTGACCCTCACGAGACAGATGCTACACCACAGGGGGGTTGTGTTCCTGAAAGTGTTACAACATAACACCCCACCCCCCCTTTTACTTTTCTTCCTTCATGTATCACATTAGAGACAACGACAGAGACAGCCTCCCACTGCAGAGCCAGCATGCTGCCTTCATACTCCTGGAGAAGCACACACTTCAGTCCCACCATTGTTCCATAGGCACCACCCACTCACCAGTGTGGCTGTAGTGCCTCCCAGTCTGTCAGGGTCATTCCTGGAGCCTTCATGGAGCAGGTGGTTGTTGCCATCCACCGATGGGACTGTCTGCTCAGAGACAGACCTTATTCCTGGGATTCTGTTGTATCCAACTCCCACGGGGAGCCCAGGATAGCCAACTCTTTGGAATCAAGGTCTAGGTCTAGAGGCAGAAAGACCAAACCATATGTACAAGAGAACAGAGCATTGAGGCATAGGATTCTGACTTTTCTCATGCTTTGGCCATTTGATCTGTAAATGCAGCACTAGCTTCCTCAGTTGGTGACCTGCCTGTACAGGTCCATCTTTGTCAAGTTCATGCTGACTGATTCTTCTGGTCTTAGCTGCTTTCTCTTTCCTCTCCTGTGCATTTCTACAGTTTTCCAACACAACATGAGGTATATGTTCTCTTGCAAATATCTCAGCAAAAGCAAAAAAAGTATTTGATAACCTAAAACAAAGATTGGCAAACATTTTCTCAAAGGGCTAGACAGTTAATATCTGTGGTTTGCAGGCCATACAGTCCTAATACAATTATTCAACATCCCCCTCTCTAAGTGCAAAAGTGCAATAGCATAGACATCAGTGTTCCAATAAAACTTTTGTTATAGACCTGAAAATTTTAATTTCTTATACATTTCCATGTATTACAAAGTATTATTCTTTTGATTCCCCTCCCCAACCATTTAAACATATAAGCACACTTAGCTCACAAAGCAGAGGACTGGGTCTGGACAGTAGGGTGTGGTGTGCTCACCTCTGACTCGAAAAGGCAGTCCCTTCAGCTCAGTTTGAATATTTGCATAAGGAGACCTCCATCCCCTTTTATTTTGGTTTCCCAAGGTCTTGCCATGAGGCAGAGGTAGTCCATGTCTGTGCTTTAGGTTTTTTTGTTTTGTTTGTTTTTTGTAATATATTTTATTGATTTTGTACAGAGAGGAAGGGAGAGAGATAGAGAGTTAGAAACATTGATGAGAGAGAGTCATCGATCAGCTGCCTCTTGCACACCCCCTACTGGGGATCTGCCCGCAACCAAGGTACATGCCTTTGACCGGAATCGAACCCGGGACCCTTCAGTCCCCAAGCCAACGCTCTATCCATTGAGCCAAACTGGTCCCGCTTTTGGGTTTTTTAACTGAGCCTTTTTTACAGCTTAATTAGGAGACTTTGAACATCGTAGGTGGCCAGTCACCATTCACTGAATTTGTTGAATGAAACATTTTTATGATACAAAAACTACACTGTGTTGTGATTTTCCTTTGTTACTCTTTTACTCCCTTTATTTGGTATTGGAGTTTGAAGGTTTTGAAAAGTGCAAGTTGTTACCTCCTTACAAAGATTTCTGGAATCCCGTGAGACATGGTTTCACAGTTCTCAGACCCAGCGGTTTCTATTGTCTGTGGAGGTCTCTCGCTCCCCCTTTCTGTTTGCCAGCTCTGACCTCTGCTGTAAATATTATTTATTGTTGAGAGCACCCTGGCAGGATGGAATGTGAACTGGGGGCAGCATTATCTGGGCCCGCAGAGCATGGGAACATGGACCACAGGGGCCACCGGGAGCAGGAAGTGCAGGCCTGGCCTGGCAGTGGTTCATGGCCCCCTAATGAGCCTGTGGAATGCAGGCTTGTGGGCTTTATAGAAACAAGAGGATCTGGTTTGGCCTCACAGTTTGTTTGGATCAGCAGCTGTCCCTGGAGAGAAGTAGCTGTCATGGGAGAGAGAGGTCAGGCACCTCATCCAGAGGTTGGTTTCCCTCCCACACAGTGCCCATCCCCTCCCGAGGTGGAGGTGATCTGTTGTGCGGGGCTGCCCCCGCACAGACACCCACTGTGTGGCAGGCCCACGGTGAGTAGGCTCGAGGAGCCTGGAGTCTGGGGATAAGAGAAGTCCTTCTCAATTCCTTGTTGGTGCCTCTTCCCATGCACATCCAGAAAGCTCCCTGGAACATTGAAGGTGATCCTATTGGGTTTGGTGGTTGCACATACATTAGGTGTTTTAGATGTCGTGATCTCTTAATCTAGATTTAATTTTTACTGTATTAATAATTCACACAGGACTATACAGCCTTAGTGGTGTTTAACTGAATGTTTTTGACTTGTATATATATCCTGTAAATATGTTATGTTTTCCTCAATAACATTAATAAAATGAGATGTCAGTGTAGAACACACAGAGCACTGGACAGGGCTTTTTTATAATATACTAGAGTGGGGTCCCTCGGCCTGGCCTGCATATCAAGCCAAAACTAGTTCTCTGACATCCTTGGAGGGGTTCCAGATTGCGAAAGGGCACAAGGCAGGCTGAGAGACCCCACTGGTGCACAATTGGGGATGGGGAGGGATGCAGGAGGTGGCCAGCCAGGAAGGGACCATGGGAGGGCTCAAGGTGTGTCTGACCCATCTTGCTCAGTCCCAATTGGCTAGACTCCAGCAGCAAGCTAACTTACTGGTCGACTGTCTGCCTCCTGGTGGTCAGTGCATGTCATAGCAAGCCGTTGAGTGTCCTTAGCATATCATTAGCATATTACACTTTGATTGGTTGACTGGATGACCAGACGACCAGACACTTAGCATATTGGGCTTTTATTATATAGGATG